ATTATCAAGAATACAAGCAATAAGTGTTGGCAAGTATGTGGAGAAAAGGGTACACTCATACATTTCTGGTGGCACTGCAAATTGGTGCAACCACTATGGAAAGCAGTATTCCTTAGAAAACTTGGAATGGAACCACCATTTGACTGAGTTATCCCACTCCTTGGTCTATACCCAAAGAACTTAAAATCAGCATACTATAGTGACATAGCCTCATCAATGTTCATAGCAGCTCAATTAACAATAGCTAAACTGTGGAACCAACCTGGATGCCCTTCAAAAGATGAATGGAAAAATAAATTGTGCTATATATACACAATGGAATTTTACTCAGCATTAAAAGAGAATAAAATTATGGCATTTACAGGTAAATGGATGGCATTAGAGAAATATCATGCTAAGTGAAGTAAGACAATCCCCGAAAATCAAAGGCCAAATGTTTTCTCTGATATGTGGATGCTGATCCATCATGATGAGGTGGGGGCATGGGGAGAATGGAGGAACTTTGGGCAACAGGAGAGAAGAAGGAAGGGGAGGGGAGATGAGAGCAGAAAAGATGGTGGGATGAGATAAATGGCATTACCCTAAGTTCATATATTACTGCTAATATGGTGCGACTCTACATAACGTATAACCAGAGAAATTAAAAGTTGTGCTCCGGGCTGGGGATGTGGCTCAAGCGGTAGCGCGCTCGCCTGCCATGCGTGCGGCCCGGGTTCGATCCTCAGCACCACATAACAACAAAGATGTTGTGTCCGCCGAGAACTAAAAAATAAATATTAAAAATTCAAAAAAAAAAAAAGTTGTGCTCCATTTATATACAATGAATCAAAATGCATTCTGCTGTCATGATAACAAATTAGAACAAATAAAAATTATATATATACATATAATTTATATATATATAAATGCCAAAAATAGTGAAAGAAACAGTGTAGAAAATTATTAAGAGTTTGAGCTCTGAAACCAAACTCATTTGGAACTGAGTTCTCACTCTGTCCTCCCTGAAACTATCTTCATCTATGTAACAGTAATAGCTGGCATTGATTGAACACTTACTATGTGCTAGGAACTATGTGTCCTAACATTACATGTTTTACACATGTTATCTTATTTAGTATTTTCTACAACGCCATAAAGTGGGTACTATTGTCATTCCCATTTGGTATGTAAAAAAAACCCTGAAACACAAAGAGATTTATTTACAGAGATCATATGACAGTGAAGGATGAAGCCAGAATTCAAACACAAGCAGTCTGACTCCAAGACCTTCAAGTGCTTTTAATCACTAACTTCTTCCTAGTGATTAGGTAAGAACCAAATTAGCTTATATAAGTCAGGTCCCCTGCATGCTGCCTGGTATGTAAATAAGCCTTAAGTAAATATTAGCTGTGGTATTGTGTTTAGCAATTTCTTTTTCTTTTCCCCAAGAGATATCTGGGCCAGAAAACTGATTTTGACATAGGATATTTTATTTATTCCCAGTTAACTGCCCCAAGGTATACCTTTCAACTGAACTCATAGGCCTCTACTATTACTTACAATCTGAAGATTATGGATCACCTGGTAAAGAGATGTGCTAAATGGTTGGCAAATTTTTACATCTTCCATGCAAAAAGTTCTTCAGACTGTGAAGAAGTATGAAGTCTTTTATTTAAAAAAAAATGCATACTGAGCAATAGCTAGCAAATTGCAGGCAGTACTGAGATTACAAGTGGGTCATGTTTAAGAAATTCATTTGTCTATTGTTACAAACTCTGAATGCATAGAAATAAGGTTGCAAATGGTGGTTATCTTCCACACCTATTCACAGGAGACTGTTTAGCTTTTTTTTAAAGCTCAAGGATAAAAATCATGTCATTAGTCTCAGGGTAGGGCTAGAAACAAGAGCCCATGTAATTAAATAATAAGAGTATTTCTTGCTGTAGAGTAAGATTGATATATAACATATTAGTTATCTACCACATAATGACAAACTACTACAAAACTTTTCATTTTAAAACAATAAACATTTTATTTTATTATGTCAGAAAGTTTCTGTGGGTTATCTGAGAATAGCTTAACTGGGTGGTTCTGGCCTAGGATCTCACATGAGGTTTCAGTCAACATTGCCCACGGTGAAGTCTTCTATAAACCTTGCTGGGGCTGAAGGGTTCACCTCCAATATGGTTCACTCACGTGGCTCTTGGCAGGAGGCCTCAGTTCCCCCTTACATGGGCCTTTCCATGGTGCTGCTTGAGTTTTCCTGAAGACATGGTAGCCAGCTCTTCCAGTACAAATGATTCGAAAATGAGAATAAGGATGCAGTTGCAATGTCTTTGATGACCTAGTTTCATAACTCACAGTCACCTTTACCATATTCTGTTCTTTATAGGTCATATGCTATCATGAAGTGAACCACACAAACAAGAGGAAGGGAATTAAGCTCCACTTCTTAAGAGATAGAGCTATCATAGAATTTATGAATCTACCTTAACAATCACCATATAGAGTTTTGTTGTTCTCCCAAAACTCTCTCCAGGATCCAGTGGACAAAATAGTAAAAACACAGTGGGATGCAGAACTGCAGCCCTCCTCGACGAAGCTTACTGTAAATGCACAAAACAACCCATGCCCTTGCCTCATCTTTTCCTGAAATCATCCATCCCCTTTTCTTACATGAAATATCATTTGAAGAAATTATTCTAAAGATAGTATGACACTCCTGAAATTTTCACTTTGTTCATCTCTATCTCTCATTAATAAAACTTCAAAGTGAAATTTTAAAAACCCTATTCCCAAAATTGGGTGGATTAAGATATTTGGGGCTAGGAAAGCAATCCCCAAGAAGCTCTCTTCCTTTAGCTGATTAAGACCAGAGGGTCCTGGTTAGTGAAATTTTGGAAAACATTCTTTCCTTCATGATTTTAGAATCATGGAGTCTCTGTTCAGGTTTCATAACTTAATTCCACAACCATAACTCTGCCGGAATGTAGTGAGCATTCAAAAAGTGAGGGATTGCTATGGAGTTCAGAAGCAGTTACTGCTCTTGCTCTTGAGTATACAAGATTCTGAGGTGTCATCTGACTGACCCTTCAGAGGAAAATGTTTCATGTGACTTTATTTTTTCTGACTTGTAACTTGGAAAGACACATAGACTGTTGTAAAAACATAACATGCATAAACACAGGAGATTGCCTCACAATTCCACTCCAAGTAGAAGCTAGGGGTTTGACCTATAAATGAATTCTCCTGGCAGTGTTTTTTAAACTTGAGTCTTAGCTCCATTTGAGAATGGATTGAAGCTAAGGAAAACTGGGCCTGGGTGGCAAATGTCTGTAATCCCAGTGGCTCGGGAGGCTGAGGCAGAAGGATCAGAGTTCAAAGCCAGCCTCTGCAATTTAGCCAGGCCCTAAGTAATTCAAGGAGACCCTGTCTCCAAATAAAATATAAAAAGGGCTGGGGGCGTGGCTCAGTAGTTCAGCACCCCTGGTTTCAATCCCCAGTACCAAACCCAAAAAACAAAATCAAAACTCTAAGGAAAATACACTCAAAAATTTTTACATTTAAAGATCTACTGAACCCCCTAGAATCCACACAGACAACCTAGATTATGAATCTTTGAGACTTTGTGTGGGAAAGAGGAGATCACTCTGCCTTTCCATTTTGCCATTCAAACTTAGGTTTAAATCAGAAACTACTATTCAGAACTTACTATGTTATTTGTCAAACAGAACCAAAGGCCAAACAGCTACTAGACTTTCTGTGCTTGGGATTAGTACATATTGTAATACCTCAACGGCAAAAGGAACGTGGCAGAAATTACACAGGAGGACAACACATATTTGACGGAAAAAATCATAATAAACATAGGGCAGGACACAGAACCGATCATATAGGATTGACCTGGCTGTGCAGCAAATTTTGCCAATTTGCCAGAAAAGTAGCAACTCGGGGAGAGAAAAGCTGCTTGGCTTCCCACCCAGTACAAGAGCACTAAATTTGTTTTCTGCGGAGCATCCACCGCCAAGATCGGTCCTGAGATTCTGAGTGGATGACCCCCAGGTAGGTACGCCCAGCTCCGGGCTGGACCATTCGAACCCATCCACTTGGCCCGCAAACCAAAGCTCCGCGCGCACACGCCTCCGGGGTAGGTGGAAGGGCGGCCCAAGCCCCGCCCTCTCCGGGCACAGCCGCGGGGGCTCTGGCCGCGCGAAGGACC